CCTGGTCCTGCGGGGTCTCTGGTACGGCTTTTCTGCGGGCGCCAGGTCCCAGGGGAGGGCTGAGGCCGTCGCCCTTCCAGGGCCCTGGGACCCCTTCAGGGCCTTGGCACGAGCTGGCAGTAAGGATCAGGGTCGGGGTTCAGCAGGTCCTGGTGGGGGAGGGAGAGAAGGGGGTTGTGGGGGGGGGGTCAGGGTCAGCGGGGAGCCAGGCAGAGGCTGAGAGATACGCGCAGAGAAATGCACACAGACACACGGGGACACAGAGATCCAGGGGCGGACAGGAGGGGACGGAAAGGGGCTGGGACGCAGGCCCAGAACGGGCTCCCCGCGGTGGGGTCTGACGCAGGCCCCGACCTGCTGTGTGACCCTGGGCACCGCCCTTGCCTCTCTGGGCTTCATTGCCTCCTGTGCAAACTCACAGCCTTGGAATCCTTCTAAGAGGGAGGAGAGTGCCTCCCCAGGAGGGGAGAGGCTGTACCGTGTACAACTACGGACCCTGAGAGCAGGTGGACGGTGGGGGAGGGGGGCCCCTCCCGCCCCGCAGTCCTCCCCTCCCCTCCCCTCCCGCTTCCCAGCTCCGCACCTGATAGCGGTGGTTCTCGGGCAGGGGCAGGGGCTGCAAGGGAAGAACACGGGTGAACCAGGCGCCTCCAACCTTTGACCTTTGCTGTGAGGACAGACCTGGATGCCAAGTCCTCACCGGCACTGGCGGTGGCACGTCCAGTGTTCTGCCCGTGACCCCTTTAGCACTTGGCCTCCCGTCCACACCTGCCCTTCTGAGCTTCTCCGTTTCAGCTTTTGAAATTGCTGCTCTCGGTTCAGTTCACTTTTTCTTATTATCAGCCCTTCCCACCGATAATAAGGGGAGTATCTGCTCCGTGCAGAAACTACAGCCAAGCGGCAGAGAAAATAAAGTCCCCCACCAGCCTCCGTGCCCCAGAGACAAAGGCTCTTTAGGCTGGATCCCTTCCGGTCTCTTTTCCTGGTGGCTTGAGAGCTGGGAGCAGGGAGCATCCCAGAGAGAGTCGTGTTCCCACGCGACTTGTGTGGGACAAGGTGCCGGGCCCCACAGCGGGCTCCCAGGGGAGGCACCAGGTGGGCTTTGGGGGGAGGGGGCGGGGCTCACCATGGCGGTGTTCGCAGACCCCGGGTCACCGAGGGGGGACACCGGGAGGGTCGGAGATGGCATCACTTCGTAGATGTTCTCGTCACCTGAAGCAGAGGACAAGGGAGGAACCGGCTGACAGGTGGCCCACGGGCCCGTGCTGGCTGCTGTCGGCATTCGTTCGTTCGGCCAACATTTGTGCAAAGCCCTCTTCTTGCCCAGCCTGGTGCCGGGGACACA